TGGGGAACCCGAGGAGTAGCCATGTATTGGCTAAGATGATTGACCGTAAAAGAGAGATCAGGCCTTGTGATTGTCAAGTAAAGAAGGCGGCCAATAAGTCTTCTGTATGGAGTTGGATCGGGTAGCAGGTCACCAGCAAGTGAGGAAAGCTTTAAGTTGACTTCCATGGGGGTTGATTTGGGTTTGCAACCAGAGAGGCCAGCATCCTGCAGAATATTAAGAGCATATTGATGCTGGCAGAGAGAAATCCCTTTGGAAGACCTGGCCACCTCAAGTCCCAAAAAATATTTGACAGGACCCAGAATCTTAAGTTTGAACTTGCTGTCTAGAAGAGCAGTGAGAAGCTGTACTTCAGATAAGTTGTTAGAAGCAACAAGTATATCATCCACATATATGAGAAGAGCAATAAAAAAAGAATCAGAGTGCAGAATGAATAAAGAGTGATCAGCCTTGGACTGTCTAAAACCAAGAGATGTGAGAGCCGAAGAAAATTTTGAAAACCACTGTCTAGAGGCTTGTTTAAGTCCATATAAAGACTTGTGTAATCTGCACACAGCATTGGGGATGGACTCCCCCTGTCCATGATAACCAGGAGGCAATTTCATATAAACCTCTTCGAACAAGTCACCGTGTAAAAAAGCATTATTGACATCTAATTGGATTAGATGCCAATTATGTAGGGCAGCAAGGGCAAGCAGTAACCGTACTGAAGTTAACTTAGCCACTGGTGAAAAAGTTTCAGAAAAATCCACTCCCTCTTGTTGAGTGAAGCCCTTGGCCACCAACCGAGCTTTATACCTTTCAACAGATCCATTGGAGTTATATTTGACCTTATAAACCCATTTATAGCCAACACAATTCTTGCCAGGAGGAAGTGGAACAATGGACCAAGTGTTATTGTGTTGTAGGGCCGAAATTTCAGCATCCATAGCTGCCTGCCACTCAGGAAGTTGAGATGCCTCAGAGAAAGAGGTTGGCTCAAAATGGTGGGATAAGGAATTAATAAAGGCAGTATGGGTAGGAGAAAGTTTATGATAGGAAAGAAAATTTGAGAGAGGGTGGGCTGTGGAAGAAGAACAAAGATAATCAGCCAAATGGGAGGGGGTGTGTCTAGTCCGAATGGGACGGTGAGAAGGCAAAGGGGGGGAGGGTTCGGTTGGGGAAAGAAGGGGAGGGGGAGAAATAGGGAAAGGGGAATCAGGCAGTGTATCTGAAGAAAAGGGAAAAACAGATTCAACAAAGGTGACATCCCTGGATATAAAGGTACGGTTAGAGGCTAAATCCAGCAGTTTATAACCCTTAAAACCAGGGGGATAACCAAGAAAGACAGCAGGGATAGCCCTAGGTGAGAATTTATGTCGTGAGTGAGGAGTGTGGACCCATAACAGAGACAACCAAAAATACGTAAGTGATCATAGGAAGGGGGCTTGTGAGACAAAAGCTCAAAGGGAGTTTTGTGGGAAAGTAAAGGGGAAGGGGTCCTATTAATGAGATATATGACTGTGGTGACACAATCTTGCCAGTATGGAAGGGGGATATGGGATTGAAAGTGAAGTGCGCGAGCAACATTGAGGATATGTTGGTGCTTGCGTTCCACCACCGAGTTCTGCTGCGGACGGTTGACACATGAATGAAAAACCTGGATACCTTTGGAATGAAAAATGTCAGAAACCATAAACTCAGGAGCATTGTCACAACGGATAGCCTTTATGGAAGCATTATACTGATTATGTATAAGGTGAATAAAATTAAGAAAAACAGAACGAAACTCAGATTTGCTTTTCAAAAAATAAGCCCATGTAAAACGGGTGGCATCATCAACAATAGTAAGAAAGTACTTGGATCCTTCAACAGAAAGATGCTGAAAGGGACCCCAGATGTCACAGTGAATGAGAGTAAAAGGAACAGAAGACAATTTAGGATTTAAAATAAAGGGTAATCGTTTCTGTTTTGCAATAGGACAAACAGTACAATGATGCGTGGAATCTATAGTGTCAGAATTAAGTAAAGCATCCTTCATGGAATTCAAGACAGAAAAAGATAGATGACCTAGTCTAGCATGCCAAAGTGTAGAACTATGCCTATTTACAGCAAAACAGAGGGATGGGGGAACAGAAAATTTGGGAAAAAGGGAGCAAACATCAAGAACATAAAGATTGCCATAACGTTTAGCAATCCCAATCGTCGTTGCCGTTGTAGGTTCCTGTAAAATACAATGAGAAGAAGTGAAATTAACAACGAGAGAGGAATCGCGAGTGAGGGCACTGATTGACAAAAGATTAAAAGTAAAGGAAGGAACAAATAAAACATCTCGAAGAGTTAAAGAAGGGGAAAGGGAAATGGAGGCAGAGCCTACGACAGGGACAGTCGAGCCGTTGGGAAATGACACGACTGAGGCTGTGGACGGTGAAGAAGCACCAGGGGCAAAAAAATGAGAGGAAAAACACACATGGTGAGTAGCACCTGTGTCCAAAATCCAACAAGAATCAGAGAAAAGGGAAGGGACAGTACCATTAAGGCTGGCAACAGAAGGAGGACCATCAGTGAAGGAAGCAGAAGAGGACGTGACTGGAGCAACCGGAGCAGCAGAACCCTTGTGGAGGAGAGACAACAGGTGAGCATATTGGGCGTGGTTGATCGCGACGGACGGTGCTGGAGAGGAATTAGGGTAAGGGTTTGGTGAATTTGGGAAAACTGGATAGGAGACTGAAGAGTTAGTGTGGGCCGAAGGATATTGGGTCGTGTTTAAGTGAGGGTTGTGTGGGTTGGGTCGTGGCTATTTGGGCCTGTACCCTGTGGGAAAACCATGGAGACGGAAACATTTTTCCCTCACATGGCCCTGAGCGTGGCAATAGGTGCAAAAGGGGCGAGGACGGCGAGGGGTGGTGGAGACAGCAACCACCGGCTGTGAGGAATCAGAGGGAAAAGGAGAAGTGGGAGTAGTGTTTATGGAGCTAAGCAATGGTGTATCAGGAGTGGCAGGAACTGGAATGGAAATCAGGCGTTGACGTTCATCTTGAAGAACCAGAGAGAAAACGCGAGCAAGCGATGGGAGAGGATCCGTCAGCAAGATCTGGCCGCGCACAGAGGAAAACGAATCGTTGAGACCCATAAGGAATTGTAGGGCATTATGTTGCTGCTGGGAGTCCAAGAGGTGACGCAATCCTCCACAGGTGCATGTAGGAAGAGGAAGGTGGCTCTGAAGCTCTTCACAGAGAGTCTTCAACTTAGTGTAATAGGTATTCACATCTAGTGAACCTTGGTGCAGGGAGGCAATTTCTTGCTTCAATTGAAAAATCCGAGGGCCATTTGCTTGTTGGAATCGAGTGCGCAAATCATTCCAGACATCAGAAGCATTGGAAAAATAGATCAAGCTATCAGCAATGGCTTTAGTTACAGAATTCAGAAGCCAAGAGATTACCATTGAGTTACACCTGTTCCACGAAGGAAAGAGCAATTCAGCATCAGCGGGACGAGGAACGGATCCATCAACGAAGACAGATTTATTCTTAGCAGTAAGAGCAATAAGCATGGCTCTACTCCAAGAGCTATAATTGGTTCCATCAAGAAAATGGGTTACCAAAACCAGGCCAGGATGATCACTACCCTGAAGAGAAAAAGGACTGGAAGCATCTTCCATTGTAGAAGATGAACCAGAAGAAGGATCTGGGGAAGGTGGAGGACGATTATTGCCACGAGCCATCAGTAAACGCTATCTGATACCATATTAGTAGTGCAGAAACGCATTTGTAGCAAGGAGAAAGAAACTAAACAATTTGTATATTCATTCTCAAGTGTCAAGTATCTGTACAGTGCATCGAATATAAAGGAAAAAAGTAACAAATTCTGTTGCAACCACTTGGGTGACGTGGCACTAAAAATAAGGAAAAAAATAAAATAAAAAGAGTGATATTCTAATACAAGTGTTTCCTATTTTGTGAAAGGTAATTTTATCTGCTACACACATAAAAATGTGTGGGACTCATGCTTTATTTTTCTCTCTTTTCTCTTCATATGACTCCACATGGGCATCACATATTTTTATATGGGGCAGGAACCTTTGACACTAGTGTCAAATTTTGAAATTTGACACCAAATCATATCCTTTGATTTTTGTCAATCAACGGTTATTATTTATTGGGAATTAATATTAATTAATAAATTTGATTCCCAATAAATGATAATCGTTGATTGTGGAAAATCAAAAGTCAGAATTTGGTGTCAAATTTCAAAATTTGACACCGGTGTCAAATGATCTTATCCCTTTTATATATATGTAGGAGATAATTTTATCCCATATATCATCATAAATATTAATTCCATTAATTAATGGCTAAACTTATAAAGTTTATATCGCATTATTAATTTTTATCTCAATTTAAGTCCCTTAAAAACTTATGTATAAAAAAAAATCCCTTAATAACGCTAAGTGCCTGTTTGGATCTTTTTTTTTTAAGCTAAAAGCTACTTATGAGCATAAACTAGGCTAAACAGATTTCGAGAAAAGTTCTTATAATGAAAAACTTTTGTTATAATGAAGAAAAAAGCTAAAAGCTAAGCTCTTAGGAGAAGCTTTTTTTAAAACTCTTATATGATTTTATTGAATTGAGTGCTTTATTTAAATGAAGAGTTATAGAAATAGAGAGAGTGAATTTTTTTGAAATATGTGCTTTTAAATTAAAATTTGTATGTAATTATTAAATAGCTTTTAACTTCTTTTTTTTAAGCTTTTTGTTTTTTTTTAGATTTAGCTGATAAGTAATTTATAGCTTAAAAAAGAGAAAATCCAAAGAGACTCTAAATCATTCACATATAAATAAGTTCTAAACCTATAAGTTGCCTATTTACACTATAACGTTCTTTTTGTTTAAAGCTTTTATTTATAATTATTATTTTCTGCTTAAACGGGCTGCGATTCCAGCCTGCAAATGCAAGCCCAACCACAACCGTTTAGACTAAATTGGGCGACCCCGAAAAACACTTGCCAAAAAACAGAAGATACTTTCACGGCCATTAAACGACGTCGTTTTTTGCACGAGGGATAAAGAAGAGGCAGAGAGGGAGTGGGGGAAGAACGAAAATGAAGGCGTTGGGATGGTGGCTGATAGCGGTGGGCACGCTTCGATTGGCGTCCGTTTGGTTCGGTTTCTTCGATATTTGGGCTCTTCGACTCGCCGTCTTCTCCAACAGTGCCAGTAACTTCTCTCTCTCTCTCTCTTCTTTATTCACTACTTTCCACATTTCACTCCAACCACATAAAACAGTGTTTATTTGATTGAGTGATTTCGGTAGATTATTCATTCACTCACTCACTCACGAATGGATCCTCACTTGTTTCAAGGGAAGGGTAGATATTTTTGGTCGGGTGCGTATTCGACTTGTTTGCTGTTTCAGCGGCTACAACGGGGGCTTGTGTCATTCGATTTACTTCACTCATTCTGAGTCAAAATATTGAAACATTAGATCCAATGTATGGGAACGAGATCTTCTAGATCTCAATGCACAAGAAATTATTCAACCTTTTTAGCTTTTTTCAATGAAACCTCGTTGTTCCCGCTCCACTTTTTTGCATTTTACAAGCAACCGAAATGTTTCTAGAATATTTTCTACGTCAATTATATTTTCAATTGGGAAATCGAAATCCCCTTTTTTCATGTGAACTATGCTTGACACAATCATTTCAGGATTTTCTTAAAATACGTAAGTTCTCTGTAGCACAATAAAAATGTAGGTGATAAATGTTACATATTAGAAAATTCGGCTTCCATTATAATGTATAGTATCTGATATATGATGTATATGATATGACATGATGTTCCAAACAGGGTGGAATTGGTTAGGGTATCGTTTTTATATTATATTGGTTGAAGAGAAAAGCTGCAAGCATTGAGCTTTAGAGTTGTTAACCAAATAGAAGCTTGCTCTTTTTGTCAATAAGAAAGCATAAGGTGGGTTTGACTTGTTTCATAACAATGTATGCAAGTTGGATTTGATTGCACCGATAAGGAAATTTAGCTCGCTAGGAAAAACAGTGAATCTGCTCCTTATTTGGCGGTATAAGTCTTCTGGATTAATGTATTGATGATTTACTATCAATGTGAAGGATGGTCTTGGAACTTAAGACATATAAGAAGCAAGTTAATTAGTCTGTTGACTGTTTTCAAATTTTGAGGCATCTTATGTGTGGAGATTTAAGATTCTTTGACCTATTCAATACTGTTATCATTCTTGTCAACTTCATGCTTTATGCTTGCATAAACTTTCGAAGTCCTAGGTTTAACCCGAGTCAGCTTGAGCATCATAGATGTTGACAATGTACTATTGCAATATTTTCAACATGCTCATCTCAAGGGTAAATGATAGCTTTTCTTAAATCTTCTTGAGATTTACTCCCTATGTATATAGTCAAAGTAATTTGAAATTTGTAATTTTAAACCCTTTATCAATGGTACTCTTACGGGAAGCAGTACATGCTTATGCTATATTTGTAAAGAAAAAATACGTAGGGGCTGAATCAATTAAAACAAAACAAGCACTCTTCTTCTGTAGTTTGGACGAGTCTTTACTGTAAGCAATGGCTATGGCTGGTAGAGCAGGCTTTGTTTTCATCTTTTTTAAAATGGTACGATATAACATTGGTACTACCTTAGAGCATCCTGTGATGACAATAAATTTTTTAACTTACAAAATTCAGTAACATTCATCACAATGCATTAGCAAAGTTGTTTTGCTGCACTTGCTTAAGCTTTTCTATTAATTATAATTTCAAACATCATCCTAATGCGAATTTCATAATTATCAGAACTGATAAGAGTTCATTAATTGGTGCAGTGACTGAAGTTCATGGACGCACATTTGGAACTTGGACACTGTTAACCTGCACTCTTTGCTATATCTGCGCATTCAACCTTGATAATAAGCCTCTTTACCTGGCTACTTTCTTGTCATTCATCTATGCATTTGGTCATTTCTTGACCGAGTATCTAATTTATCATACCATGGCGATTTCGAATCTGACTACTGTTGGCATATTTGCAGGTATGATAAATTTTATTCTCTTGTCCCATCAAATTGACATGTATTACATTATTTTCTTTGATTATAAATCAGTATTGTTTTCTTTTCTTTTTTCCGCCTATTATTTTTCTATTATTCTCTGGGTTATCTGTTCAATCTTGTGCGCCAAGTTTAATTGTAAGCCATGTGACTTTGTAGACTACTACAATTCTTGATACCTATTGTTGAGATATATAAAACCATTAATGTAACCTCACCCAACAACTTAAGTTTTTGGGTTGAATTGGTTTTTTACATGGTATCAGAGCCTCGGTGTACCGGGTTCGATCATCGCCGCCCCCCACTTTCTTTCTAGTGGAATTTATTTCTTCACACAGGTAGGTGAGCCTGTGCATTGTCCACCCTTCAAGTACAATGGACTCTCGTGTGAGGGGGCGTGTTGAGATATATAAAACCATTAATGTAGCCTCACCCAACAGCTTAAGCTTTTGGGTTGAATTGGTTCTTTACACCTATTGGAAAGGCTTGTGCCATTCTCAACTAGTCATTGTCTTCTTGTTGTGGGAATTATTTTCTACTCTACTTTTTCTTCTTAGAAGTAAATAAGCTGTCGAATAACATAGAAAAGAGAGCAATGATTAAATCCATGTCTTACAATAATTTAGTGAAGGCTCTTTTATATAGTGACTGTAACAATTACGCAAGACTAATTTAACGATGTGAAACTTCTTAACAACCTATTTAGAGATCTTCTAACAATCCCCCTCAAGTTAAAGCTTACTTACGCTTCAAACTTGTTACAAATGAAGAATCAACCAAATAATATATTTGGGCTCCACAAAACTGTTGGGTTTGCTCTTTTACTAAAGCCCAAATGGGTTATTAGTATGAGAAGAGCCCAAGGAACCTAGAGCCCAATGAGCTAGGGTTTCTTGGAACCCATATAAATAGTACCTCTTAAGTCATCAGCCTCCAAGGTCTTCTTTGTGAGAAAGAGGCAAGCTCATAATCTAATCAGTGCCCACACACTTCCCCTTCCTCCTCGAGAGATAGTTTGGAAGATCTGCCACAGTCCAGCTTCAAGGAGGTTGTTCGTGCTGCGGCACTGAGGTGAGCTGTTCGTGAAGAGGAATCCTACAAGGGAAGATTCTACACGAGACCTGCGCACCGAGAGGTAATTGTGAAACAAGGGTGATTCGGTAAGCATACCAATGTACTAGGTCCTAAACCGCTTCCGCATAAATCTAAGATTTCCTTCAATTGGTATCAGAGCCTTGGCTGTACATTGGTATGTGAATCTAGTTTCACTATTCATGTAATTAGTTTTGCTTCTTGAAATGTGGCACCTAGGGTTCTAGGATTATGGTATGAATCTAGCATGTGTATTTTATAATTCATTTTCATAAAAGTTTAAATTTTAATCGGTAAAAATGCTTTAATCCATGGTTAGGATCTCTCGTGTATTTCTCGATTTGTAACAAGGAGGCTAATCCCATATGATTAGGTTTCCTCCTTGCTGTTTTTGTTTATTTTTGGAATTTCTGTGTATTTTTCAAATATTTTGTAAAAGTTCAAGATCGAGAAACCGCGAGTAAGATGCGCAGTCAGAATGCTGTCGGAGACTTTTCGAGGTCTTCCCGATCTCGGAATGAGGCGATCTATATATGGTTGGAAAGAGGACGGAAAGACGAACGCAACGGTGGGTGGCTTACCGCCATCTGAGTTTACACGCGCCCCCACGCGCCTCCACAAGATTCTGAGAGTGGCCGCCACTCTCCGGCAAAGAATGGGAGAGTGAGGGAGCGTCCGGCCACCTTTTTGGGTGGTTCCGGCGGCGGTGCACTCGTCTCTACGTGGCGGTCCTTCCCCTGGAGTTTCAGCCTGATTTGACTTCGGGTGACGGCGCGGCAGACCTGACGGCTAGGGTTTCTCTTTCGCGTCCTAGGGTTTCTCGCCAAAGGATTGGGTCTTTGGGCTTTTGGGCCCATGAAACCCTAAAGGGGCTTGAGACAGATACTATGGGCTAGGCGAAAGTCGAATTCCAAAGTTGTATTATTTTATTTTATTTTATTTTCTTTAAAATAGGAAGGCCATGGATTAAAGTAATTATGATTTTATTATTTAATGCTTTTATTGATTGGTATAAATTATATGATTGATAACATGCTTTATTGCGATAACATGCCATATAGAATAGGTGGTGCCATATTGTTGCATAACTTGTATGATTGCATGAGCATAATAGCTATTATGTCTTCAGCGACTAGTATGATAGTTATTATGGGATTATTTTGATTTTAAATCATCCTAAGAAATTAATTAATAATTATTATGATTTTTATTAAAAATCTAGATTAATAATTGAATTAATTAATTTTGGATAATTAACATCAAGACAAATAATCGTTATGGAAATTATTTTGATTTCAAATTATCCTCATAAATGATAATTATTATGATTGTTGCAATCTAGATTAATAATTAAGTCAGCTATTTGGATGATTTAAATCTAGAAAAATAATTAGAGAAAATTTCCTAAGAGAATTCTTTTATTTTGCGAGTAATTTGTGGGTTTTCTGAAATGGTCATGGAATAACACACGCTGCATACAACATTCCTGTATCATGATTGTTTGGAGCACACGCTGACGTAAAGTGACCGGATTTCAGGACCTTAATGCTTTCAAAATTATGTTAAGCTTAGTGCACGTTTATCGGCGCTCTTACTTATATAGTTTTTGAAATCAAACAAAGGATACTCTCAATTAAATAATTCTTGGAAATTAGAAAATGTTGCTTATGTTGAATGGAAGGAGATTTAAATTAAGAGATTAATTTAACCTTCAAGCGCATTATAGGACCATTAATAAAATAATCATGTGAAGTCCCATCGAATAAGCATGATTGGATTTTATTAGATTGGACTTAAATATCTATGGGAGGAGATTTAAATTAAGAAATTAATTTAACCTCCAGGCGCATTGTGGGCCTATCAATAAAATAATCATGTGAGGCCCCAACGGATTAGCATGATTGGATTTTATTGGGCCTTAATAATTTCAAAATTTTAATAAAGTATTGTACGGCCCATCGTCGATAATACTAAGTTATTAAAGATAATTTTGAAATTAAACAATGAATTCGACTGGGCTTATGAAAATTCTCAAACAAAAATGTTGAATGGGTGAAGGTTTTAAAAATTAATTAATTTTAAAACCTGCGGGCTCCATTTGTGGGTTTATTAGTGAAATGGTTATCGCTGAAGCCCCATCGGATAAGGATAATCAGATTTCACTAGATTAAATCTTAATAATTTCAAAATTTTAGTAAAGTATTGTACGGCCCATCGTCGGCAATGCTTAGACACTAAGGATAATTTTGAAATTAAACAATGGTTAATTACATTCAACTTTGGTAAAATTGTTAACCCTCCCATCGAGGCTCTGGCAATGGCACTGAAGGCCCAAATAACAATTTTGGTTTTTACAAGTGACTTGCCCATCGTAAGCCTTGTAAAGATAAACTGAAGGATTGTTAACAATAAACAAGAGTAGTTATGAGAATCTACTTGCACTTCGTTTGTTTATTGCATTATTTGTTTGTAATTGTGTGCTTTATATGTTTTTCAGAAAATATCTTAGAAATGATTTTGAGTCGAAAACCTCTAGATGGTACCAACTATGAATAAGTGAAAAGCAAATTTTTGATATTGTTCTAAAACATGGAAGCTAAAATTTGTCCTGACAATGCGAGGGCCATAGCAACCTGCAGAGAATGCGTCTAAGGAAACTAAGATGCATTTCTCAGATTAGGAAAGGGCAGATATGGTAGTTCGCTGCTATATTATTGTCAGTCTTTCCAAATACTTGCAGAAGCAAGTGTACATGATTAAGAGTGGAGTAAAATGCTTCAGACTCTTAATGACATGTTTGCTGCGTCTAGCAGCTCTGCTAGACAGAATGCAGTCGGTGCAGGTTTTGCTAAGAGTCTTGTTAAATCCAAAGGGAAACCCAAGGGTGGTAACAAGAACAAAATGACTTGGTTATCAGTTGTCAAACCAGTTGCTATGAAGAAGCCGCAAGGCAAGTTCTTCAAGTGCAGACTGAAGGGATACTGAAGAAAAATTGCCCAGAGGTGATGAAAAGAACCTGACATGGGCATATCAAGGCCTGATCAGTGAATGAATTATTGATTCAGGAATCACTGATTATGTTTGTTACTCTTTGTAGTAGTTCAAACATGGCATACCTGTCAGCAATGGACATAGATATTTTAAGCTTGAAAATGGGAACTTGTGTCTGCATTTGCAGTAGGACAAGTTATTTATAAGACTATGGTTTTGGGTGACTGTTTATTTGTTCCAGATTTCAAGAGGAATTCAATTTTTGTTAGTTGTTTTGGTTAAAACATGGGTTGACAATGCAATTGATTCCTCAGTTACATTTCGAAGTTCATCTTCGTCTTGTTTGTTCTGGTACATTGTTTAAATAGTCTTTATTACCTATGTCCTATAACCTTTTTAAATTTGTTATGTTGAATGGAAAGGATGATGAACAAGGATTTTCACCAAAGAAATAAAAGTTTCAAATGAAACATAACTTTGGCCTTTGTGATTGAGTCACATTATCTCAAGTAGGAAACATGTTTTAGTTAAAAGAGGGACTGAAAGTTCAATAATCTTTTAACTAACAGCTACATGTTAGTCCTATTTGGAAGGTAAAGTGGCCAAGCAATCCTACAAGGGCCAAAAAGGTTTGCGCAACTATTCAACTGGAACTGGTACATACTAATGTATGTGGACCACTTAGCGTTCAGACCAGAAGAGGTGATGAGTACTTCATTATATGAATGTTTACTCTGGATTTGGACAGATGAACCAAGTGCGCCATAAGTCTAAAGCTTTTGGAAATTTCCAAGAGGTTTAGTCTGAGGCAGAAAAGCATGTAGGTGTTCAAATCAAAAACACTTTGGTCTGACTAAAGTGTTGGCTACCTGTCTGGTAAGTTCAGGTCTTACCTGATTTAAGAGGGGATAGTTTTTGTAACTGTCAACTCTAAGAACG